ATCTTCATTTCTGCTGGACTGCTTTGGTTCTGGATAATGTAATATCACTACTTGCACGAGCCGTCCATTTAACATGGAAGGCGGAGCTGCTACACGCTGCTGAACGGCAGTTTTGCCCCTTGAACGTTTTGGAAACAGCTTCACCTCACGATACAGCATTTGTAGGACTTAGGCGAAGTAGAAGAACATTTGGTGAGCAGCACTATTCCGATGTTTGCTGGATGGGCAAATTGGATGGGCAAAAACAGTATTCAATTACGTTGTCTTAGGCAAGCGTTACATTTTAATTTAAATATGGCTTGCTATTCCGTTACCATGGATGATGAAATAATTCGACAGTTCACAAAGATCAGGGACAATTACATTTAAGGAGTTAAAAGGAATGTGGTTTCTTCTCTGAAGGACTTGTGTCTTTCATATTTACTTGAAACAATATAAAATGCTTGATTACAACTATAAGAATATCGGTATTTACCACACGTCCACGCTATCTGCAGTACCGGATTTTATGTAGTTTATTTTCGGTGTTGACCTCTGTTTCGACGCGATTAGCTCAGGCACCATCAGCAGTTCTTCACCAGGCCTAGGACGAATCGTGGCGGTTCCTTATCGCACATAAAGTCATTTCTTTATTGACCTCCGAAGGATGACCGGTGAGTCCGGATTGAAATGCAAAACACGTTGTTGCCAGTTCGGCGCTGGCGCTCAAGCACTTCAGCTCTCAGTTCTTACGAAAATAGCCATATGCAAATATTATTCTTCTCGAAACGTTGAGTCAAGAAACCCCTGAAATTTTTTTTAATAAATAAAGCTTCTGATCTGCTGCAATGCTTAAAAGAGTTTGTTAGCACGGTTGGAAGAAATAGCTGTTTCCCGGATCAGCAACTCGTCAGCATGAAAACCAGGGCTCTCTTGCACTGCCGATGCCATCGCGTGTGTTTTCACCTTCCCTAAATATGTTTCTATCACTGATAGTTCCCATGGCTATTTGGATGTTGACGCCAACTGTTCACATATCATGCCAAAGGATTACCGCGTTGACGACCTAGTGATCAGCTATCACTGTTGTAGCGTAAGGCGATTACACATCATCGTTATGAACCAGCTGCTCGACAAATCATTGAAGGATTGCATTCGACTTTATCGATTATGTTCTGATTTCAGAAAAAGAGACCGCTTTCAGTAATAAAAATTTGCTTTGGACGACAGCAACGAAGCGATGTTTACCTTCGCCGAAGTGCAAATTGGTAAATCTGCTACCCTCGCAGTCACGCATGCACCGAATGAGATAATTTGTGACGAGGTGTAAGCACATGGAAGATCGGTGGCTGATGATTTAGTGTTACAGTTGAAACGGGCTCAATAGGGATCGCGTTTACAAACAAGTGCAGCACAGTTTCACGGTGCCGTTAACGACTGACAGTACAACCGTAAAACCCAAAATACCAGAGACGATGAAACGCCTTGAAAGTGCCACTGTTTCAGCAGCCGGCGTATCCTAAACGTTCATCCGTTACATGCGTTTCTGTCTATGTTGACGAGCATAGCGTTCTAAGTATACGCCGTTCGCCGTCGTCCGCGACTATTTGGTTCATTTCGTAACGTCAAGTCAGATTGTCATGACGAAGAGGCGCAACATACTCGAAGAATTGATTCACTTAACGAAAATTATTATGGACTGATTGTTTTGAGGCCCGATCTAGCCGCGCGCACATCGTTAACGATACAGCTGAGTGACGAATACCTCTTCGAGTCTCGTCTCGGTCAGTCTGAACCGTGATCGTCGGCGGCTCTACCCCGCATGA